TATATATATATATATATATATATATATATATATATATATATATTACGGTAAACCGTGAGTTTCTATGGAGCCTGTTATATGAATATATGTATGCTATACATATACACAAGGTTAATAATTATCATGGACATTTTTGGTTATAATATGCATATATTATTAATCTTGCCACACAATTTTTGATCAATTTTAGAGAATTTAATATAATTTGGAGTAATATAATAATTTGATAAAAAAAATTGTATAAATTTTAACAAAATTTATTCAAGTAAATAATTAGTGTGCAACTATCATGTGACAGCAATAACATGCACACTAATCCAAATAATCCTGAAATGAACTTTAGCATAACAAATAGTCAAATATATAAACCTTTTGGCTCCGGTTTGCAAATTAAAATAAATAAATAAATAAAAACCACATTCTTGCAAAATATACAGTTTCTTGACACGATTACTTTATAATGAAATTAGATTATCATGAAGAAATCAATTCTCAACATGAAATAAGAAATTACCCCTTTTGGCTCCGGTTTTACTGCACTGCCACAGAACCATCTCGCTTCATTTTCAGCAAATTAGTCTCAATTTTCCTCAACACTGGTTTATATCTGCAAATTACCAACCAAAAAAATGAAAAAATGTATGACCAAAAGCAATTTGAATTTAAAATAAAAATGAAGGCATACGTTCGAGTGAGACCATTGTAGGCTTGCATGAGTTGCTGGAGTTTAGCAGAGAGGTGTAGGACCTCAGCATATAGTGTCTCTCCCCTGCTCTGTTCTTTAGCAAGTTGACCCTGCATCCATAATTACTTTTTGACTTAATGCAGAAAAAATGACTTTCTATAGAAAGAAAGTCAATGAAATTTATGAGAGATTGAATGACTCACTAACCTTTAGGGAAACCATCTCATTCCCACCTTCTTTGGATTCTGATATAATCTCGTGATGATTTGCAATTGGTATCTTAGTAACTTGTTCGTTCCTTAATCTATCTATCATCATACGAAGTTCCTCATTTTGTTTTAAACAATCTTTAACCTACATATGAATTATAATCTCATGATCATTTGCAATGGGTGTATTTATATTGTTGAAATAGATAAAAAAAAATAAAAAAAAATAAAAAATAAAATAAAAAATAAAAAAAACTTACTTGGTTTTCCCATTGTACCACTACACTTGTTGATTCTTGATAAGCTGAAGATAGGTTAGAATTCTCCTCGAAAAGTTTTTCTATTTCACAAGATTGTGAATCGATCTGTGGATGAAATAATAATTGAAGCTCATTTTTTATGTCAATATGTTGAAAATAACAAAAATTATAGTGAAATAGTTTTACCTCAAATAGTAGCTTCTGTCTGCTGTTTTCCAACCTCTCAACAGCTACTGCCATGTCATGCAATTGCTTCTCAAGTCTCTCTTTGTCTTCCTACAATCCATAAAGATAATAAAAAATATAATAATATAATAGGAAATAATAATACAAATTTCCTGGTTGATACATTTGCTATGTACATTGCTATGTTTTGCATTTATTAGCATCATTTCCTTTCCCTTACCAATGTGAATTGGATCTCTTTTCCTGAAACCCCTGGCATTGCATGAGAAAGCAACAAAATCAGAATGATAAAAAGTGAATTTGGGTAAGGACATCAAAATGAGGAGTTTTACAGACATTAAAGAAAGGATTATAGAGATCAGTAATTAACAGTATTGTATTCCATCTTATCTATCATAAGTTTAACAATTTATTATGTATTTAAGGTTGATCAAGTGAAATAAGGAGCAGAAAATGTACTTCAATTTATTAACACCTGAGATCTTGTTGGACATGGCTGCAAGTTTTTCTTCTAAATTCCTCTTTTCAGAAATGATGGCAGATATTCGATGTTTCTCCTCTGCTAACTGTTGTTGCTCTTGTCGTCTCAAAATTCCTTCTTGACGTCTCAACATTGATTCTTGCTATTTAGGTAACCAAATTTAGTAAGCTAAAAAGTGTTTATTTAAAAGAACCTCTAAAAGTAATTAAATTCACTTGTCATAAATCATTCAAACCTCTAACTGGATCTTCAACTCAGCAAGCTCCTTCTCAATAGCTTGCATCTGATCTTGTGGGCCTCCCATTGAGATACCAGCACCAACATTTCCATTGATGGTTTGTCTTTGTAGGGAGTTTAACTCTGCTCTTAATGCAGCTGCATCTTCCTCGGCCTGTTCAAGAGTTTATAACAATATATACATAAATCATTTGACTTTTCAACCACAAAAAAATGATGCATATTGCTTACTACCCTGTATTGTTCTTCTTCTGCTTCCTTTAGACGCTTCTTGAGCGATCGAACTTGTGCTGAGAAATCCTCCTACACTAAAACATCAGTGTTTGGTAGTATTGGTATATATGTTGTCAGTGTGAAACTTCATCACATAGAATCTAGAAAAATCTTTTGATCATTTGTACCCTTGCAACAACTGCTGCATCTTTTTCCATTGCAACATCCTTAAGAGCTTTTCTCAATGATGGTACTGTATTTTGTTCCTGTAATCCAATAGCTGTTGCTTATAAAAATTCAAAAAAGCAAAACAATAACTGCATGATCATGACCCAACAACTGAGCACATACCAGAGAATTCACTCGCTTCACAAGCATGTTATTTTCAATTTCCCTAGAATGAAGCTGAAACACCAACAAGACCATAAACAATAAGGAATCACATCAAGCATGAAGCAAAGAGATGGAGATTGGGGGTAATAACAGAAATAGTATAGGAAAAACTATAAAACCTGTGAACTCAAGTTTTTATTCTCTTTGTCAAGTTTGGCATTCCTTTTCTGCAAATCTTGTAACTGTGATACCAATCCACTAATATCATACTGCAACATTCTCTCAACAAAACATGCAATTCGGAATTAATATTTAACTAACATATCGTTAGTCTCTCTAAAACCGCAATGTAAACCTATTATTCTTACATTATTGCGATGATGAATACATGAAGCAATTTTAATCAACATGTGATGAAAATTTATCGAGAAGACACAATCGAATTAGTAAATACGAACCTCTGAAATTCCAGTACTGCTAGATGATTTCGAAATCCCTGCAGCCGCTGATTGAATAAAACATAAAGAGAATTCAATGAATATGACCACGAAAATCAACGTAACCTACACACATTGATCGAATTAAAAGTTACCTTTAGGGCTTGGAGGCTTCGTGATATCAGGTCCGGACGATGTTTTGCTTAATTTCTGAGCCGCTCTCTTTTGACGAATTTCTTCCAACTAGAATGAACAAATTTATCATCAATTGATCCAACAAACCATTGCTCGCACAAAAATTAAATTAACTTGAAAAAATTGTTTGTAATACGAAAAATTCAAAATTCAAACCGTTCGACGACCAAGAGATGCATGATGAGACGCCATTGCAGGGAGCGGGAGAGCGATTGAGATGGTTAGGCTATCAACAGTTTTCGCATGCCGTCGCCAAAATGGGGAATTAACGGAAACTTTTGTTTTATGAAGAAATCATATTTATATTAATATAATTTAAAACATAAAAGTAGTCAAAAGTGTCTGGGTGGTGTAGTCGGTTATCACGCTAGTCTCACACACTAGAGGTCCCCGGTTCGAACCCGGGCTCAGACATATTTTTAGTTATATTTTTCTAAAACTATACATCTATATAAGATTCAATCAATGAATATTTTAAAGACAACTTATAAGGTGTTACTTACATTTTGCAAATAGTTAATTCAACATTTACAATTAATCATCTAAAGAATCATGTTTTAAGTCTATAACTTTGCTTTAGGAAAGAAGTTCCATGTATAATGTATTGGAAGGTTATTCTATTTACACTATCGTCCGATTCTGTTTGCACTCCCAACTTGATTGATTTGAATATATAAATCTCCTTTCCTTTAGAAAAGTGAATTGATTTAAAGGTTTATAAGATAGGTTAACACCATTTATTTAAGATCATCTCAGCTAAATTGTTTATTTAATTAATATATGGGGCTACACATCCAGTTGCACAAATATGTTTGAAATGAACCCACAACGACATAATAGTAGGTATCAGATTTCCAGCTATCATGCTACTTTGCTGTAACACTTATCACAATTAAACTTGTTGATTTTTCTGATTATGTTCTATACCTTCCTTAAAAAATTGAACTTAAACATCCCGAGCTACTTCACGACCAGCTAACCATCTTATAACCCATAATTTCTAATTTTGTATGCAATTGGCGTCCACAATTTTCGAAAAATAATCCAACATTTTTTCACAACTCAAATTCACTGAGAATCGTATGAAGTGGCCTAGTGTATAAATCATTAAATTGAAAGAAAAAAACAACCAATTGTGATGTCGAGTTACATGTCAATAGTTGATTGAGTGTATGTATATTATAAAAATAATAACCAAAATTGTAAAAATATTTATTTAGGTTGGAAAACAGCTAGGTGGAGGGATCAGAATTTTAATTTACCCCGTATTCTGTTTACACTCTTGTTCAGTTGTTTGATTGATTCGCAAATCTTTTTCTCAAACAAAGGGATTAGATTAAATCAAAGGTTGATGCGATAGGAAAGCAGGTTTATTTAGGTTTCTTTAAGATCATCTAAGTTATTAAAACACATGAAACCGGTTTATCTAACAAATTAATTACGCTTGTCATCTTTTAGGGTACTTTGTTCAAGAGTTCTTGTGTATCGCTATATTACAAAAGCACATCATCCATGGGGGTTGATCTACTACCAATACCAAAACCTAGATGGGGAGAGCTTGATGAAGAGGATGACGAAAAAGATTATTACTCCACATTGCTTCCCAAACAGGTGATCGGACCTGACGAACACGGTGTAAAGAAGGTGGTCGAGTATAAGTTCAACAACGACGGTAACAAGGTTAAGATAACCACCACAACACGTGTTCGTAAGCTCGCCACCTCTCGACTCAGTAAGAGCGCCGTGGAGAGGCGTTCATGGTTGAAGTTCGGCGACGCTGTTCATGTGGATGTCGGTGCCCGGCTAACCATGGTTTCTACAGAAGAAATCATCTTTAAGCGTCCTAAAGCTCCAGGTGCACGTTCGGTTTATCTATATAGATTCTTTCTGGTTTTCTTTAATTAAGATTGCAATTTCATTCTTATCCAAAGGTCAAGAAGACACGAATGCATCTGGGGATCCATTAACTCGCGGAGCTGTTCTGATAGTATGTAGGAGTTGTGGTAAGAAAGGTGATCACTGGACCTCAAAGTGCCCCTACAAGGCTGAGAATCTGAACCACCCTTCAGTTTTATCAGTCACTGATGATAGTGAGAAAGGAGATGTATATGTCCCACCCATAAAGCGAGGTGGTGCTGATATGAGGCGGAGGAATGATGAGAACTCAGTTCGAGTAAATAACCTGTCGGAGGACACCCGAGAACCTGACTTGCACGAGCTGTTCCGGCCGTTTGGTAGCGTTTCACGTGTTTATGTGGCAATGGATCAAAAGACTCAGATGAGTCGAGGTTTCGGGTTTGTTAATTTCGTGAGGAGGGAAGATGGTGATAAAGCTATTGCTAAACTTAATGGGTATGGTTATGATAATCTTATCTTGGCTGTTGAATGGGCTGCGCCTAGGCCAAAATAACCGCAAATTACTCTTTTGTATTGATGAAGTGCTTTTGAGTGTTGATCTGTTTGCTACCGTTTGGCACATGGACTGGATAGAACAAAACTGGATTGCTACCGTTTGGCACATGGACCAGATAGAACAGAACTGGACTGGAGGTCCAGTTCTGAACTAATAATATTATTTGTCCATTTGGTTTGACTAGTACAAGACAACACAATACATTAAAATTAAAAAATTATCCTTTATATATATATATATATATATATATATATATATATATATATATATTATCTCCAAAGCATTCGACCTATAGACACATCCACCGCCACTTTTATCTTCTTCCACCATAAGATTTCCTTGCTCTTCAACCGGCAAATATCCGAATATAATATTATAATGATTAGAATTGTA